CCTCCGTGGGTGAGTCACCTTACTATAGCCATTAGGCTAGAATGGTCTAGTCTCAATAAAAATATGAAATCACATTAAACTCAAAATTTAACAAGTCAAGTTTGTATCTTTAAATCTCAACACTTAAGTCTTAAGAGACAATCTCAACATTTGAGCCTTAATGGTTAACCTCAATGATTAATATTTACCTTTAACATTAAAAACCTCAACATGCATTCAAAATATTTTTTATCATAAAAAGTCATTTATATACATATGCACCTTATTTATTTACTTAAAATATTTTATTTCATCATAGTCGATATGTAAAATATATGTATGTATATGAATGCACTTTAAGACAATCACAACACACAATTCACATTAAATACATAATATTTATTTACTTAAACATTTTATTGCATCCGAATATTAGAACGACCTTGTAATCGAAAATAAAGGGCATATATTTTAGGTTGGGCATTGAGTGATTTTTTGGCTGGAGATTTGGTATAACTCGTGAAGTTATTCTATGATACCTTTCAAGCGAGTCTCAAGATGGTAGAGAAACATGACCCTCTTATTAGGAAGCAAATACCCTAAGAGTTCCTTACTTTTTGAACATTATCTTTCAACTTATAATTACGAAACAGAGAGGGTCTTAAAGAGTGAAGTTGGGCATTAGAATCAAGGATATCAAGAGTAAAGTCCCAATAAACCTCATTAAAGAAAAATAACAGAGTGGATTGAATTAATGAAGGATGATGGGGAAGAGTGGACCTAAAGTGACAATCTAGTTGTAGAGCAATACTAGACATAAATTGGAGGGAGAAGAAGGCTTTTGGGATCCGGATTTGGAAGTAGATAGGCTAGAAGCCATAGAAATATAATGAAAGTGAAGGATCATAAAGGTGAAAGATTAAGAAAAGAGAAGGAAGGAAAATGAAAGAGTTTCAATGAAAATTTGATTCATTAGTGGATTGGTAATTGAATTCCTCTTGTATTAATGTACAACAAATTAAAGAAATATATGAATTCAAGTAACCATTATAGATTGAAGATACGTACTAGTTTCAAGTATTTATTGTATTGTTGTGAATCGAAGGGAGACAAATGAACGAGTGCCAAAGTAATTATTTCCTCTCGCATGTGAGAAGAGACTTTACACATAAAAAAAGAATGAGGGCGGATGTTACACCCAACATTTGATTAGGGCATGACAACCCAACAAATTAATTAAGGCCTAGTGAGGCTTTGATCACAAAACCCATGTGAAAGGTTTTTAAGAGCCAATAGTGCATCCACGATCAAATCCACAAAAACAAGCACATTTAAAGAAGAGGCCTAATTGAGCTTTATGCTTGAAAGACAGAAATATGGGTAGAGAAAATGGAAAGTCAAGTCCTATTCAAAAGAAAAGACTAATAATAAGATAACTAATTTGAATGTCTAGAACCATAAATAAGAAGAACGTGAGGATATTGCAATGAATGAGTGAAAATACCCTAAAACCTAGAGCATTATATCCCAAGACAAAAATAGAGCATTGTAGCCCAATGAAAGAAGTTATGAAGCATTGCAACTCAAGAATGTGACCGTAAAAAAAATGTTAAAAAAAATAAAAATGCTATAAATACTAGTTGTAATCGGAAAAAACACACAACAACAAACACAATATAACAAAAATACTCTTGCAAATTATCAACATTAACTCTCAAATCGGTTCAACACTTAGAACACAATAGGCTATAGTTTTTAAGCAAGTAATCAAGTAGACAATAATAGTAGGTTGATAGATCATCCTTAGTTTGATTACCACTTTTGTTGCAACTCATATAGATTTTGTGTCTCGATATATGGAGTGTCAATTGGCGTATATTCATCGGTTCTTATGTTTGTAAGTCTTTATATTTCTAGAGTCATTATCGTTTGTAACGACTTTTAATTCAAGTACTTATCAATTTTAGTTTCGTTTCATCTTGTAATCTTTACTTCACATACTTATTGTTAATAGAAGATGTTTATATTTTGAATAGAGATGCTATTTGCTAGATGTTTAATATTAGTTCCCGATTGTTATATATTTGCATTCCAACTTTACAACCTAGACTTTCTAGGTAGCCTAGAACCCTTTCCGACATGACCTAGAACCCTTTCTAAAAGATTTGTTGGTCATTGCATTCTAGTATAGGTAGTAGTAATTTTTTGTTCAAGTATTAAAATATCTTTAGGAACAACAACGAAGTTAATCGAGATTAGTAACTTTAGTCGTTTAATTTAGAGTTTTAAAGATAAACTGTCTTGCGTACTACTTTGCAATCATTTTATAAATCTTTTGTTTCAAAATCTTCTCAACCAAGACCAAGACAAATGAATCCACAACAATTTCTATTGCTATATTCTTTAAAATGAGGTTAAAAATAACAAGTGTTTCTTTTACTATAAAGTTAATATTTCAAAAAAATGAAACTAATTATAGTAATAATTTAGATTACTTGTTATTTTCAAAATATTGACTATTATTATTAGAAAACCTTTTTCTTTATTTATATAAGAAAATAAATATAATTTAACAATTATACGAGAACTAAATGACATAAAACTAATTATATTATAAGTATTTATTATTTTCAAAATACTGAATATTATTATTAGCAAATTAAGCTTTTCCTTTTTGTTTATGAGCAAATAAACATAATTTAAGAATTAGATAGAACTAAATGATAATTCTGTTTTGTAATGTTCATGCATATTATGGGTGTTATGTTCTTTCGTTGCTGCTTGCTCTAGCAAGCTGTTGTATCTCTTTGCCAATTAGGATCTTCTCGATCGAACTAAATGATACATAAAGCTCATTAGTTAATTTAAGAAAATTAAAATAAATATATTTCAAGTTATAACCAAACAATCTTTTATGCATTAACAATTCATTCATGTAAATCGGACAAAACAACTTAAATAACGTGCAAAAAAACCCATACCATGACAACTAGCTAGTTTTATAAAATGCATGCATATATTTATTATATCAGATGGGGTTGAATTATATATATTAGAATGAGCTCGAATGCTTATCACCATGCAAAATTTTAATTAATTAGCTATTGTAGGCTCCAATTCTTACTTTGTTTTTTTGACTTACTACTCTCGCATTTAATAATAATAATTTGTTTGAATATCTTTTGTTACATGGTAACGACGACTGATGCGTAACTCACTTTGAATTTAATAAGAAGTTAGGAAAAAATTTTGTTAATGCATATGCCAATTGAATTTTCTAATAACTCAAGTTGAAAACATCAATCTAGATGCATAAAATCAGATACTTTAAACCAAATAAATAAATTACTATATATACTATTTTTAATTTCTCCTTAAAAGATTCTCTTTCCAAAAACAGCTTTTGTCCATATATATAATGAAAATGTGTAACTTTCAGACTGTAATGACTTTCCATCCTTCTATGTATTCCTGATCAATTCATCTCAAATCCACCCGTTAAAGTCAAAACAATAGCACATCCAACGGGTTCCATTCAATCTCCAAACCCAAAATTACCTCACATTAATCACAATTTAGTTAAAATTCCGTTATAAACAAAATTCAATCATTACAATGCAAAAGAGACAGCGAAAGAAAGAAATAAATAAATAAATAAAAACTAATGGAGAAAATCGGACGACCCAGTCGAAACGACCAACTTCCACCCCGAAAACGGCGCACCTCCATCCCACCATTTCCTCGCTCTCACCACCCTCTCATTCCCGCCACGTGTCCCCTCACTGTAAGGACAAACTGCGCGCGTATTTTCTGTTTTCTCGTCCCTTATATTTCTCTCAAAATTGACTCTCTTTCCTCTTTGCCTTTCTCTCGCCTCTCCTCTGCGAAAGGTTCCTAAATCCAAAACAGAAAAAATCTCTCTCTCTCTCTCTCCCCCTCTCTAACATTTCTCTTTCTCTCTCTGGAAATATCTTATTTGATTTTGTTTTTGTTTTTGTTTCTTTATAGGCGAAGTAGCTAGGCGATTTATTAAATTCCTCTACCAAGCTCTCCTTGTAACTGTAAGTAAGCTTCACGTTTCTTCAATCTCCTCCTCTTTCACCTTCACCTTCTCCTTCTTGATGTTGTGCTTTCTGTTTGGTTGCTGAGAAACGAAAACAAATAATGAGTGCGAGATTTATTTTTAAATTCGTAAGATTATTATTATTATTATTATTACTTTTTCTGCTAGGTACCAAATGGAGTTAGCTGGTAAGATTAACTCGCTAAATATTGGAGGATTAAGCCGTGTCTGTTTGGTTTCTGATAATCCGTAGGAAAATTAATTAATTAAAGAGATCGAATGCTCGATTGTTGCAAAGATAAACCAAAGTTGATGGAGAAGTCGATTTTAAAACGTCGTTTTATTTTATTTATTTCTCTGTTTGGTTTCCTAGAAAAGAAAAACGAATTCTGTTGTTAAGAGACAAAAGTAAAAAAAAGTTAGAATTTATTATTGCTAACATATTGTTTCTCCCATTGTGCTAGCTATGTTTGGTTTCCCAGAAACAACGTACAGGAAAAGAAAGGAGAATATTTGCTCTGGTGCTTTCTGTTTGGTTGCTGAGGGGGAAAAAAAAAAAAGGAAAAGATAAACGAGAATCTGAGAGTAGAATGAAATGAGATTCAAAGGAGAAAATGTAACTGCACCATTAAAAAGGAATCAGCGGAGTTTTAATTTAATTAGATGCTAAATGAATGAATTTCACGTGCGTTTTTTCTTCCCAATTTAAGCGATGATTAAGCTGAAAATGTAGCAGTACGTAGAGCAAAAGCAATGTTCCAATAATTAGCTTGTTTCTTACGTTTTTCCTTCTCTTTCCTTCATACTTTCTTATCTGACTTGAAAAGAAAAAAAAAACTGATAAATTCATAATCATTGATTTTCAGTAATTTACTCTCGCAGGTGGTTAAAATTAGCTCAATTAAGACATTGTTAGGACTAAAAGCTAGCTCACGAGCTAGCATTTGATTGAACAACAATGTCGAACCTGGATCCATCTGGGTCACAGATGCTTAGCCGGCGGCCGTCTCGCAGCGCTGCCACCACTACATTCTCTCTTGAGGTTTTTGATAATGAGGTCGTCCCTTCCTCGCTCGGTTCCATTGCCCCTGTCCTCCGCATTGCCACTGAAATCGAACAGGAACGCCCTCGCGTTGCCTATCTCTGTACGTACCCATGTTGCGAGAAATTTTATGATACTATTACTATTGTTTTACTAATTGTTTATTATTATTTTTATTTGGAGGAATATAGGTAGGTTTTATGCGTTCGAGAAGGCGCATAGATTGGATCCAAATTCAAGTGGCCGTGGTGTGAGGCAGTTCAAGACATCTTTGCTGCAAAGATTGGAGAGGGTACTTTTTATTATTATTATTTTATTAAGTTCTATTTTTTAGTCAATGCTTTTGATCATATTCCTTTCCGTGTTGTTGTTCTTATCTGATTTAAGTAATCATTATGGATGAATGGAATTATAACAAGCGAAAGATCCTCTCTGGCTAGTCTAAACGCATTTAGGGGTAGAATTTTTTTTAAAAAAATCTTTTTTAGGGGTGGAATTTAAAAAACTGAAAGATGAGTGGTGATAAAGTGTGTTCAAGTTCATAAGAACTTGTTTTCATGTTGATATATGATTGGTTAATGGAAGGGTTTTTGTTTTCAAAAAATCTAATCCTTGAGCAAATTAGAGTAAATCTTGAGTAAATTATAAATTAATATATATCTTTAGTTTTAAACAATGAATTAATTAGTTATTTTGATTTTGAAAACTAATTTTGTTTTTTTGATAATTTTATATATTTTTTGCTTTAAAAGTATAAAAAAAAAACAAAAAAATAGATATGGTAGAAAGATTAATAAGAAAAAATTATTTTTTAAAATAAAATAATATTAAACTAAACGTTATTAACATTAATAAAATAATTAATTTTTGAAAAAAAGGATTAATTATTTTTTTATTAAAATACTAATTTTTAATTTACTCTAAAATGCCCAAAGTTTACGGAGAGGGTTCAGGGTCTCGTTCTGGAAGTGGGGGAAACAAACTAATTGATTACATTACACAGCTGTGGAATAAGTAGAATTTCTGAATAGAAGGAATGTGGTAATCTTCAAAGGTAGGCAGTTGCCGCGGGAATTTGTTTGTTTTCTCTGCTAGTCTTATGAGGAATGAATTCTCACGTGTTGCACAGTATTTGTTTGTAGAAATGCTTCTCTTGCATTTTCTAAAAGCAAATCCAATTGGGTTCTATAAAAATAATCCAAAAGAAAATTCGTGGTATTGTCACGGATTGTTTTGAAGCATTGGGAGAATTTATATGAAATGTATTTATTTGACTCAGGATAATGCGTCCAGTCTTGCCTCTCGGGTTAAGAAGACTGATGCTCGGGAAATCGAGAGCTTTTATCAGCAGTACTATGAACACTACGTTAGAGCACTTGACCAGGGAGAGCAAGCAGACAGGTAACAATATAAATGCTATTTTTTCACTCTCTCCCTGCTTTTATTTATTTAATTTTCTTTTCTGTTTCATTTTATGTAACTAATGAAAAGGGTATTCAAAACGCTTTTTGCTGTTGTGTTGATGAACCTTTTGACTTCAATATCTACGCAGAGCTCAACTTGGAAAAGCCTATCAGACAGCAGGCGTTCTTTTTGAAGTGCTTTGTGCTGTTAACAAAACAGAGAAAGTTGAAGAAGTTGCACCTGAGGTTAGTCCCGTCTATAATCTGTCGTTTACAGGTTTTTATGCAATTGGCCATTTTATGGCAATTATCGTTTTCTGTTGCTATACTAATGATTCAGTGAAGTGATATATTTTAATTACTTTACCCTGAGCAGATTATTGCAGCAGCCAGAGATGTCCAGGAAAAGAAAGAAATCTATGCCCCTTACAACATCCTCCCCCTCGATTCTGCTGGGGCTTCACAGTCCATAATGCAGCTTGAGGAGGTTATAAATTCTTCATAGTTATCTTTCTGATGTTGTGATTTACTTCTCCTTGTCTCTTGGTGCCTTGTTTGGTATGCTTCTTGAAAATTTCCTGTCCATATATACCAGGTCAAGGCTGCTGTTGCTGCACTGTGGAACACTCGTGGCTTGAACTGGCCCACTGCATTTGAGCCGCAAAGGCAGAAAGCTGGAGATTTAGATCTTCTTGATTGGCTGAGAGCCATGTTTGGCTTTCAGGCATGTTCTTGACCCAAGAAATTTTTCTTTTTTTTTTTTTAAAAAAAAAAGAACGGAAAAGAGAACTCAATTGCTGAGAATTACTCTATGATATTCAATAACTAAATATTTGGTTTTTTAAATTTGATGGATGCAGAGAGACAGTGTCAGGAACCAGAGGGAGCATTTGATTTTACTTCTTGCGAACAATCATATAAGGCTTAATCCCAAGCCTGAACCTATTAGCAAGGTATGCTCTAATCCTTCATTTTCCCTTTTTTTTTTTTTTTTTTTTTGTCCTCCCTGAGATAGCTCTAGCATTATCCTACATTTTGAGATTTATAGCATCCAGGACATAGGTAATTTCGATGGTTGTGGTGTTGATTAAGAGTTTGAAGCTGAAGTGAATGTGTGTATGAGCATGTGCTTTTAATCTGCAAATCATTTGAATAACTTGTGAACCATTCTGGTTAAATTTTTCTTTGATTGAGTGTCCTTGAGTAAATTTTACTTCCATACATAATTAATTGGTCTGATGTGCTTAAACTCTCATCTCTTATGCAGCTTGACGATCGAGCTGTTGATGCAGTTATGGACAAGCTTTTTAAGAACTACAAAACATGGTGCAAGTTCTTAGGAAAGAAACATAGTTTAAGGTAAGTAGGTGGACATTTTTCAATGCATTCAGAGCTTGAAGCAAGCTAGTAATGTATAACCATGAATTTGGTATGTTAACAACTGCAAGTATAATCCATGTAGGCTCCCTCAAGGCCAGCAAGAAATCCAGCAGAGAAAGATACTGTACATGGGCCTATATCTTCTCATCTGGGGTGAAGCAGCAAATGTTCGCTTCATGCCTGAATGTCTGTGCTATATTTTTCATAATGTAAGCACTGATCATAGCATTAATGGACTCCTTCTCTTCCTTAATTTACCTGCTGTTTTTAGTGATTAGCACATTTTGCTTCATATAAGAGCTTTTTAAGAGTGACCTCACATATGTTCAGATGGCATATGAACTCCATGGCCTGTTGGCTGGAAATGTCAGCATTGTTACTGGAGAAAATATTAAGCCTTCTTATGGTGGAGATGACGAGGCCTTCCTGAGGAAGGTTATAACACCACTTTACCATGTAATTGAAAAGGTATTTCATTGTGCAAGGATTCAAGTCATCATCAAACTTCTGGTCTTTCTGTTCTCTATATGAACATTGTGTTTCAATTTTTCCAGGAAGCTAGTAAAAGCAAAAATGGTAAAGCCTCACACTCACAGTGGTGCAATTATGATGATCTAAATGAATATTTCTGGTTAGTTTGGATATGATATTTGAATTCAGAATAATGATCATAATTTCTTTAGTTTTTGTGTCTCTTCATTCCCGTTAATACTTGGTTTTGCTTATATTTTTTCAGGTCATCTGACTGCTTTTCTCTTGGTTGGCCTATGCGTGATGATGGGAGTTTTTTTACATCTACACGTGATGTGGTGCAGGTACTCCTAGGTTCTGAGGGATTGTCAATACTCAACACTGCACTTAAAATAATTTACCAGAATCTGCTTAACATGATTTCTATGTCAGGGGAAAAAGGCTTCTTCAAGAAAATCCAGAAGCACAGGCAAAGCATATTTTGTCGAGACCCGAACCTTTTGGCACATTTTTCGAAGTTTCGACCGATTGTGGACCTTTTATATACTGGCTCTTCAGGTATTTGAGATTATAAACCTTTCGGCACATCTTTCTATTTGTTTTTACTTTATCATCATTTTTCCACTAATACATGAGCTTGTTATTTCAGGCAATGGTCATCATTGCTTGGAGTGGGGTCTCAATTTTGAACATTGTTCGAAAGGATATATTATATCATCTATCCAGTATTTTCATCACTGCAGCCTGTCTTCGCTTGCTCCAGGGTACGATTTTCCTAGCTCAATGCTCCTTCTATCCCAACTTACCAGTTCCTCTATGAATTCCCCATAATGGGAGCCTATTGTTATTTTCACTCTTCATAAAGCTTTTAAATATCTGTAACTTTATTCTTTTCTTACCCACTATAATCAAGGTAATATGATAAAGTTATTGCATCTGTTTTATGAATTGGTAATGTTCAACATCCCTAATTGAAAGGTGGACTAACAATTTGGGTGGTGGGAGCAGTCCGGATGCTACATACTAGAAGCATATACTTTTGACTGCTTCCTTCTTAAAGATGCTGTCATGAAACATATGCACACTACTATAATTGACATTAATTTAACAAGGATGACTTTGTTATAAATCAGAAACTTTCATTTAGTTGTCAAAAAAAAAAAACTGGGAAAATGACTAGGTAAATTGCTTTATATACTTATAGACATTTTTTTTCTGTTCGGATGAGCATTCAAAATTGCATGTCCCCACAATTCCTTTACCTGCACTCATGTCTTGGAATTTTTTTGTTCATATGCACATCTTTTAATGTTCTTTATCATCTAATGGTTTAATTAAAATACTATCCCTCAAAAAGTTGAGATATTCCATTTTTGTTGCAGATTCCTCTCAATAAGAGCTATTGGATTTATGAACATAGACTCCCCCAAATGCATGTATTAAGTTGAAGAAACATTTGAGAAATAGAAAATTGAAATCAAACAGATGAATGTTTTGAAGAAGTTTTTTTAACCATTTGTTTTTTCTTCTAGTAGAAAGTTTCACAATTTTTTATTTTGGTAATATGTTTTGGTTTTGAGAGCAAATATTTCTTTTAACCAGCCACATTGCTCTAATCATAAGTTAAATTTTGCACTATCATCTTTGAATTTAGCATTTTAGAATTATCTATAGCTTATCCTTGATTTGCGTTGTTTCATGGTTGAAGAAAAGACATTGCTGTAAAGATTATAATTCAGCACATAACAAAATCTCTCAAATTTCCAATTGTTTCTTTAACATTCTTATTACATTGCTTTTGACAAACTTCTGACTTTTGCAAGACTCTTTCACTATACAAATACTGAGTAATTTTGGTTATCATGATTTTACATGTATGTTGCATTTTCTGTGACTAACTCCTTTTTTTATGATGTGGTGGAGTTTGTTATTTGACATGAGAGTTAAAAGATTAATTGGCATTGGTGATACCACCTGATAATTTTCTGGTTTTTCTTTTTCTTTTTATTTTTATGATGATATTACCTTCAACTTGAACCCTCTACGCTCTTTCATTGTTCCTGGACCTGATTTTCTCTCTCTGAAATAGCTTTTGTTTCAAGTTTACTGTTTTCTCTCATTGCTGTCTCATCTTTCTTCCTTTTAGGTATGCTGGACTTTGTTGTGAACTTCCCAGGGTTCCACAGGTGGAAATTCACTGATGTCCTGAGAAATGTTCTCAAGATCATTGTTAGTCTTGCATGGGCGGTCATTCTTCCACTATGTTATGTGCATTCCTTCAATGTGGCTCCTAATAAAATCAAAGATGTCCTGTCATCCTTTAAAGAAGTGAAGGAAATTCCTCCATTATACATTCTGGCTGTGGCTGTATACTTGATTCCAAATATATTGGCAGCTGCTTTGTTTATCTTTCCCATGCTCCGAAGATGGATTGAAAACTCAAACTGGCTAATTATCAGATTTCTCTTATGGTGGTCACAGGTATGCTTGCAGGACTGCTTTTCCCACCACAATTATCTCAGTACCATTTTTCGTGATTTTTTTTTTTGTCATCTAGCTAAAGAAAATTTATCTCTTCTCCTGTTAACTGCATAAATCTACATTTCTGCAGCCAAGAATTTATGTTGGCAGGGGAATGCATGAGAGTCAATTTGCACTTGTAAAGTGAGTTTGATGAGAATTCATATTTATATTATATTGTCCTTTTATGCTGTCACAAATGTATTTGGTCCAAGTTTACTTGATTACTTGATTTTTCTTTTTGTTTCAGGTATACTCTTTTTTGGGTGTTACTTTTGTGTTCAAAATTAGCTTTCAGCTATTTTGTCCAGGTTGGCTATTGTTATCAGATCATCACCAACATTTTTATTATGTTCATTCATTGAGTGTTCCTTTAACTGTTTTACATATCCTCTGCCCAGATAAAACCTCTTGTGAAGCCAACCAAAGCTATAATGGGCATTCGGAATGTAAAATATCAGTGGCATGAATTTTTTCTTGATGGTATCCGTTTCTCTTATTTCACTTCATTCTTATTGTGCTTTTTTTCACTGAGGCTTTATATTCATATAGCTTCTTCCTTGTATATACAGCTAAACACAATTACGGAGCTGTTTTCTCCCTCTGGCTACCAGTCATCTTGGTGTGCCCTGCTATCTCTTTCCTTTCTCTTTCCTTTCTTCTTCTTCGTCTTCTCTTTTTTTCTTTTTCTTTTTTTCCCTTTTGTTATATTAATTATCTAGGCAATATTTATATTTACTACTTTTTTCCATGGTTGGTGTCTCCTGACATGTTACAATATAATCCAGGTCTATTTTATGGATACTCAAATTTGGTATTCTATTTTCTCAACCATATATGGTGGCTTTATTGGGGCCTTTGATCGCCTAGGAGAGGTAATTATCTCAATCTTTTTGTGTTTTGCAGTCACAAACCTTCATATATCATTTGAAATGAGTCATTTGGATTTTTTTTTTCTTGCTTCCATGTTGTATATTCTTCTTAGTGAGATGGCTGGGACCTAGTATTTTCTTTCTCATAAGAGATGGAAACTTAGTGCATACTTTGGAGATGCGATAGCCATCCTTTTCAGCCATTTTATGTACCTCCAAGGACAAACCTTCATAAAAACTGTTTGAGTTGTTGCAACTCATATTATTAATATGTATTTATACCATTCGATGGCAGGTAGATTCTGTGTTCCACATTGTCTAGTTGATTTTTTGAATTTCACCAATGGCTTTTATCACTCTCCTTTTCTTATAGTATATGTACGACATTAAACTCCTTTTGAGGATGTAACTCTCACTTAATTTTATTTTCACTTCTTCATTTAGTGAATTTTCAAATTTCATTGAATCTTTGGGCAAGTTATGTCAGTGAAATGATTTTGTCAGTTGCAGATTTTCTTGTAACCATAGGTTTAAATTGTGACCTGTTAATTTCCTCTTTCTCTTACAGATTCGAACTCTGGGTATGCTAAGGTCACGGTTCCAGTCCTTACCTGGTGCATTTAACACATATTTGGTTCCTTCTGATAAGAAACAGAAGAAGGGCTTCTCTTTTTCAAAGAGATTTACTGAGGTTGGATTCATGTTTCAAATTCTCATATGTTATTATCGTTATATTGCAGTTTTATGCATCTCCTTCAATTATTACAATGTTATGCCTGTGTAGGTTACAGCAAGCAAGAGAAGTGAAGCTGCTAAATTTGCTCAGTTATGGAATGAAGTGATATGTAGTTTCCGCGAAGAAGATATCATTAGTGACAGGAAAGGCCTCATACGCAAGACAAAAATTTCATTTCTATCTGTTCCTTCCCCTGTTAAGACTAAATCTTTGGAGTTCTTTTATTTCAGGGAGATGGATCTCTTGCTAGTTCCATATACATCAGATCCTAGCCTCAAATTAATTCAGTGGCCACCGATTATGCTTGCAAGCAAGGTCAGCATATATTCCCTTCTGCAGATTGAGTACACAGAACTTGTTTTTAACTGTCAACTTTCTACCTTTACAGATCCCGATAGCTTTGGACATGGGAGCACAATTTCGATCAAGGGATGCTGATCTCTGGAAACGTATATGTGCAGATGAATACATGAAATGTGCTGTCATTGAATGCTATGAATCCTTTAAACTTGTCCTAAATGTTTTGGTAGTTGGAGAAATTGAGAAAAGGTTGTTGGTGATGCTCTTTTCCTTACCCATGATAATCTGTGTCCATTTTCTCTATCCTTTCTCTTTAAGTAACTTGCATGAGCAATCAGAATCTCGGTACCACCCCCTCCCTTCCCCGGATCAGGTTCTTAGCTGATAATTTCATTATTCCCAATAAAAGCTTTAGTTGGCAAGAGTCCCAATCTATTTTCAACTATTCCCGATTCAGCTGTTTCATTCCTTCTATGACATTTTTGAGTTCTGGTCTGGTATTTAGTATTCTACTAAAAGTTATTCATGGTATAACAAAGTTAATGGTTTTCATTGTCAATCTATCCGCTGTAGAGTTTTGTCTGGCACTCCAATTATGTTAGGCTGAAGGTTCACTGTGGTTATAATGTAACAGGATACTTGGCATCATCTTTAAAGAAGTGGAGAGTAATATTTCAAAGAACACACTTCTTACAAATTTCAGAATGGGTCCCTTACCAGCTTTATGTGAAAAGTTTGTAGAGCTCGTAGGAGTCTTGGTGAGTCATTTATTAAAGTTAGCTAATCGTATATGCAGCTTGCTTTTGTAAATCTGAACTTCCCTTTGGGGTTGTGTATTGGAAAGTGAAATTGTTCCTTCCACCTTGCAGAAAGATGCTGATCCCTCCAAGCGAGATACTGTGGTGTTGATATTACAGGATATGTTAGAAGTATTTACAAGTGATATGATGGTGAATGAGAATCGGTTGGTGAACCTTGTATCTTCTAGTTGGAGTTAGTAGTACACTCCTGTCCTTTGTATGAGTGCTAACAGTCTGGCCTTTTCTTGTGTTATAATTTTCAGTGAATTGGTAGACCTTGGGCATAGTGGCAAGGATTCTGGAAGACAAGTTTTTTCTGGTACTGACACAAAACCTGCTATAATGTTCCCTCCTGTAGTTACAGCACAGTGGGAAGAACAGGTACCTTAGCACTTGCTGAGTTTTCAATGATTATTTGAAGAATTAAACCTTCCAGTGGGTGTAAGAATTGATGAAAGTTTGGGTTAATATTCTCTTAGATAAGGCGCCTTCATCTTCTTCTGACGGTAAAAGAGTCTGCCATGGATGTCCCAACAAACCTTGAAGCACGTAGGAGGATCTCATTCTTTACCAATTCATTGTTTATGGACATGCCACGTCCTCCCCGAGTCCGTAAAATGCTCTCATTCAGGTCTGATTTATTTTCATAAATAAGCATAGCAAGGCAAATTAGGCAGTGACCTTGCAGAGTTGCAAAGGCACTGCCTTCACATTTTGTCAAATTCAGCAGAGTTTTAACTTACAGTTGGTCCCAAGGATTGTGTGCGATCCAAATGTCATTAAGGACAATGAAATTTGGCCTGACTTTGACCAAATGTTGGTCATTGGTGACCACATTGGTTTACAACTGATCAGACATTGTACAACATTTGTTCAAGCATATAATCAGTTGAGGCTACTCCTGGCCAGCATTCGGCCAGAAGAAAGGCAGTGCCTTTGCTTAATTTATTTGTGTGAATATTGCTTGTTCAAATGTCGTCCTACAGCCATTGCCACTCTTTGTTCTCACAAAATCAGTGTCTGATTTCTGATAGTTTTTGTCAAAGTACAGTTGTGGTTTCTAGATAGACTCGTGCTGGATAGAGGCAGAGTTTCAAGGTCTTGAAAATTTTGATTAGTTTCAACTTTTCTGTAATAAAGTCTCCTCTTCTGCCATGCACAGTGTCATGACCCCCTACTATAGTGAAGAGACTGTTTATTCCAAATCTGATCTTGAAATGGAGAATGAAGATGGTGTATCAATCATTTACTACTTGCAAAAGATTTACCCAGGTTAGGTTGTTTTGCAAACTCCATGGTATGCTGTATGGTTTGCCTTTGTTTTAATGAATGATGTAATTAATTCAGTAACCATTTTGCAATGTTTTCAGATGAGTGGAATAACTTCATGGAAAGAATCAATTGCAAAAAAGAGAGCGAGGTTTGGGAAAATGAAGAAAACATTTTACAACTGCGTCATTGGGGCTCCTTAAGAGGTCAAACACTCTGTCGCACAGGTAGTTGATCCATTTTCATTTTTCTCGTTCAAATTCATTGATCATTTCTTTTGTTCAATCCTAATGATCATAAATGTTGCAGTTAGAGGGATGATGTACTACAGACGAGCTTTGAGACTTCAAGCTTTCCTTGATATGGCTAAAGAAAGTGGTGAGAGCCTGAATACTTTTCTCTATTGTGTTTGAAATAACTTTCATTTGTGGAATTGCATATGGTCTCATTTCCTGAAGTTAGCCCTCTAGAACAAATTGAATAATAGGAGTTGCACAAAAATGAAAAGAAAAAAACATGTGGAATCCATGTTCTGTTTTTCAAGTATTAGAATATTCTAAAGAAGATGCAGATCTTTGATTGCTTACACTTTCTTCTGTCAGTCGCATCTGACCTTCTTTTATAGGGTTAGAAATGATGAAATTACATAGTCATAAATGTCAAGAAGGAATGCTGGCTTAAATAAATGACATTAACAGGCAGCCAAAAGTTGGAAGGTGACAAGTAACCAAAAGCTCAAACTTCATTTTATGTCTTGAAAAAGAAAATTGCCCTTCATGAAAGGATACGCAGGGAGCAATTCTAGTTTATTTCTCAAGAATAAACCATTTCCTGTTTCCCTTGCAGTTTAATTCATTCAGCATATAGAATGAAGAGCAAAAGGAAAAATGAAATAATTGTCAATGCCTCTGACTTGCATTCTAGGCAGCATTTGCCTTTTTCTATATTATTTTTTTCTTTGCCATGTAATAGCATATTTTTGCGAGAATACAAATCCAATAACTGTTATGAGTAGTTATCAATTGTGATATTTAAGGAGCACATCGTTCATCGGGCATGTAGTTTCCTGGGAGGTATACAGTTTTCTTATAATTTTTGTTCCAATATACCTGTGAAAGCTCTGCCAATATGAGGGGTGTCCAGTGAAGCAGTTTCTTTTGTGAGGTATTATGCTGATGTCTGACATATTCTCATAAATGCAGAGATACTAGAAGGTTACAAAGCCATCACAGTTCCAAATGAGGAAGATAAGAAAAGTCAAAGATCTGTGTCTGCTCAAATAGAGGCCGTTGCTGACATGAAATTCACATATGTTGCTACCTGTCAGAACTATGGAAATCAGAAGCGAAGTGGAGATCGTCATGCAACAGACATTCTCAATTTAATGGTCAAGTATGTTCTCTGACTAATAATAGTGTCCTGCTATTCAATATCCTAAGCAGTTTGGTGAGTACATTTTGCTCAAGAGTTTGAATCTGCTACTTCTTCTACAGCAATCCCGCTCTCCGTGTTGCATATATTGACGAAGTTGAAGAAAGAGAAGGTAGCAAGGTACAGAAGGTTTATTATTCTGTGTTGGTCAAAGCTGTCGATAATCTTGATCAGGTGATTATTCCGATATTCTTAATTTAATTACATTTGAGTGACTGCTGCCATCAAACTAATTGTTTTTTATATTGTATATTCTCCAAAAGGAAATCTATCGCATAAGATTACCAGGTCCAGCAAAATTAGGAGAAGGAAAGCCTGAGAATCAGAATCATGCTATTATATTTACTCGAGGGGAAGCTCTTCAAGCCATTGACATGAATCAGGTAAACGTGGAAAAGTTGTGTACTGTAGTTTCATTATGATTTTTACACCTATTCTAAGGATTTATCATATCAATTTCTTATAGGATAATTACTTAGAAGAAGCACTTAAAATGCGTAACCTTCTTGAAGAATTTCATGAAGATCATGGAGTACGTCCACCTACAATTTTGGGTGTTCGGGAGCATATCTTTACTGGAAGGTTCGATGGATGTTTATCTTTTATAGTTCTCTGATGCTCTATTATATTCAAATATCATGCCTTGGTATTCTTCTAATATGTTTTTACCATCTATGCTGCAGTGTCTCTTCTTTGGCTTGGTTCATGTCAAATCAAGAAACGAGTTTTGTCACCATTGGTCAAAGGGTTCTTGCAAGACCATTGAAGTAAACTTCTTCTTCTCTTGTTCTTCCTATGTAGTATAACTTATGGTATGCAAAGTAGCAGTTGTTTTTAAGATACATTATTGAGATAAAAATTTTAAAGGAATAAATAGTGGATCAAGAGGTGATAACGAAATATGTTTTCTATATTTACAGTATTTAAAAGAAAACTTTGAGTATCATTATGCACTAGATAGATAATTCACTCTCTTGCATGCATTTGGTGCCCAAGTGCACCACCATGCACACATCCTTTTGTTCTTGAGAAGTTGGGTCATCGGCATTAATTAGCATGAAGAACATAAAATAAGATGTCTTTTTTTTTTTTGATAAATAAATCTATTCAGATGGCCTTTTATGTCTATCTTCTTATCAATGTTGACATGTTATCTTGAAGTTGGTGTCGGGTGTTTACAGGGTCCGGTTCCATTATGGGCATCCAGATGTGTTTGATAGGATTTTTCACATCACACGTGGTGGCATCAGCAAGGCTTCTCGTGGCGTCAATCTGAGTGAGGACATATTTGCTGGTACTATTCTCAGAGAACCTATTCTTGTTACCTTGAAAAGAAGTTGAAAAATTACCAGGAAATTGTTAGGGCGTCTATTTTTCACCAGTTACACAATTTCATTCACTTTTCTATGCTTGTTCTCCCTTGTAGGTTTCAACTCAACACTGAGACAAGGAAATGTTACTCATCACGAGTATATTCAAGTTGGGAAAGGTCGAGATGTCGGGCTCAACCAAATCTCTCTGTTTGAAGCAAAGGTAGCATGTGGTAATGGGGAGCAGACACTCAGCAGGGATATTTATCGACTAGGCCATCGTTTTGATTTCTTCCGCATGCTATCCTGTTACTATACAACAGTCGGATTTTACGTCAGCTCAATGGTAATTCTTTTTTAATGTGTAGTTCATGTTGGAAAGCAATTGGACAAGGTTAATGAAAAATCTACAATTTACCTTGTTTTCCAGAGAACTCAATCTAAGCACGAAAAAAGACAATCAAAAAGTTGGTATCAAGGCCTTAATATACCTAGAAAATCAATACAATATTTGTTAATTTGTATACAATGGGGGAAAAACGGCTTAAAAATAAAAAATTTTGACCATGATATGTCGTTAGGTAATAAATCTATTGGTGTGCTTATGTGTGTGTATTCACACATGTGTCAGTCTGTTCTTTAGAAGATGCATTTTGTGCAGTGCTCAATTTGGTTCAGAGTCCAAATAGCAAGGACCCATATGGCATCTATTATATAAATTGCTCTCCAATTCTCTGTCATTAAGCTTTGATAATTTCAAGAAAAGGGATACGGTTTCATGCGGAACACCTAAATGTCTTTTTACTTATTTCTTTCCTTTTTGTGATCCAATGATTTATATTTTGTTGAAGAATCGTGTAGTTTTTTATATTTATATTGTTTCTCTTTTGTCAAACCGCTGCATTTTATTGTCAGGAATCTACCTTGTCCTTTTGGTTTTTCTCTAAAGTAAATGACTGCTTCCTTTTATATTGAATAAGGACGTAAGATTTTTCCATGAGGGCTTTAGGATTGCAAATTCAGTTTCATTTTCAGTGTTATCTGTATGTCTAAATGAAAGAAGAGCTTTGTTCATTTGATTGTCAAACAACAATTGATGTAATGTCTCCTTTTGAAAGTGATCAGCTATTAGCACCTTTATTATGTAGAAAACTCTTATGTGACATGTGGTGCCCCACGTAGATCATGCAATTATTAAGTTCAAAAAATCACACTATTCTGATGTGCATTTGTTCTTGTGCATTTGTAGCTGGGATGTAAGGATGTTTCCAAATGTGGGAAGTTCAGCTCACAGATGTTTTTCTCATCTTTTTTTTTTTTTCCCTTGTTATGCAGATAGTTGTCCTTACAGTATATGCTTTCTTGTATGGCAAACTTTACCTGTCATTAAGTGGATTAGAGGAATCAATAGTTAAGTTTGCACGGGCTAGAGGAAATGACCCGCTAAAGGCAGCCATGGCTTCTCAGTCACTTGTTCAGATTGGTCTTCTCATGGCTTTGCCCATGGTCATGGAGATGGGGTTGGAGAGAGGGTTCAGAACAGCATTAGGTGACATAATAATCATGCAGCTTCAGCTTGCTCCTGTCTTCTTCACCTTTTCCCTTGGAACAAAGGTCCATTATTTTGGTCGAACTATCCTGCATGGTGGGGCAAAATACAGAGCTACTGGGCGTGGTTTTGTGGTCCGGCATCAGAAATATGCTGAGAACTATAGGATGTACTCAAGGAGTCACTTTGTGAAAGGACTTGAGCTTATGATATTGCTTATATGTTATCAGATATATGGAAAGGCAGCAACTGGAACAGCTTATGCACTTGTCACGATCTCAATATGGTTCTTAGTGACTTCTTTTCTGTTTGCTCCTTTCCTTTTTAATCCATCAGGATTTGAATGGCAGAAGATTGTGGATGATTGGGATGATTGGTCAAAGTGGATAAGCAGCCAGGGAGGAATTGGTGTTCCAGCAAACAAGAGCTGGGAGTCTTGGTGGGATGAGGAACAGGAGCACCTGCGATACACTGGATGTTTAGGTCGGTTCTGGGAGATATTTCTCTCTTTGCGGTTCTTCATCTATCAGTATGGAATTGTATACCAGCTAAAAGTGGTCAAGGAAAGTGCAACAGGAAGAAGCCGGAGCATTATTGTGAGTACATGCAATTTAATTTTCTTCTACTCCAAACTTGACACATATCTTCATCTTAGTTGTTAAAGGAACTTCTGAAATCTTTCATTTTACATGACCTTTTTTTTTTTTTTTTAAACTAAATGGTCGAAATTCTACTTTTCAAGAATTGTTGAGACTGATATTTTTAAGTCCGATTATGATTATCAAACCAAAATCACTGGCTTTTTGGGGGAAAAATATCACTTGGTTTCTTTTTAATGTAAAAATAAAATAAGATGAAAAAACAACTCGTGGAAATGAATTTGAAGTCCTTAGCTTTATTGCCTTTCGGAATTATATACCTTTCATGCTCATGTCCATAATTTTCTTTTCTGATTTCAGGTGTATGGTCTGTCATGGCTGGTCATCGTTGCTATGATGCTCATCTTAAAGGTTTGTGTTCAAACTTCAAACTCCAAAAACTTATTTCTAGTGAAAATGAACTGTTTTCTGGATATGGATCTAGAGTGCAATTCACCAACTCAAATGCCTTTGAACTGCAGATTGTTTCCATGGGAAGAAAGAAGTTTAGTGCAGATTTCCAGCTTCTGTTTAGACTTCTTAAGCTGTTTCTCTTTATTGGATCTGTGGTCACTCTTGTTATCCTGTTCACTACTCTTCACCTCACAGTTGGAGACATCTTTCAGTGTCTGCTAGCTTTTCTGCCAACTGGCATGGCACTTCTGCAGGTACATGACTATCGTGCAAAACCATTGCCTCTCTCTCTCTCTCTATACCAAACATATGATAACTTTTAATTGGATATTAGCCATTTTGGTTATCTGGAAAGAATGGTTCACACATTACCTAATGCAATTCTCAGAATTATGAACTTAGGAACTTCGTTTTTAATATGAAGCCCATTCAGATAGAGGACATATGAGAATTTGAACTTCCAAGAATGATGAAGCTTGATTGTGATTTCTATTTCAATACATATCTAATCAATGTAAATGAACTGCTCTTTTATTTCCGAATCAAAGATGTTCTGACAGCACTTCTGATATGTTTGGTAGTAAGTAATAGAATATATTCTAATGTAATGGAGAAAGCATGATTATCAACTTCTCTGTGGTATTACACTACATTATATGAAACACTATCTTACATGGAATGTGCTGGAAGAAGAAAAGGAGCCTCGATTCCGTCTGCTTTTTATGTTTCACTACAGTGTTTACAAACATATTAGCGATCATGAGTTCTCGAAATAACTTTTGATTTTTACATTAAGCTGTTTTTATTTTCAGATAGCACAAGCTTGCAGACCAGTGGTAAAGGGCCTTAAAATGTGGGGATCTGTGAAAGCTCTAGCCCGAGGGTATGAGTACATGATGGGTTTGGTCATCTTTACACCAGTGGCAGTACTTGCCTGGTTCCCATTTGTTTCAGAATTCCAGACCAGGCTGCTGTTCAACCAAGCATTCAGCCGAGGACTTCAGATTCAACGTATTTTGGCTGGTGGAAAGAAAAACAAATGAGATTTGCTTACTGGATCGTGATCGTAGAGTGAGTGAGAAATATAAAAGAAGATAGCTGACGTTAAGAATGTATTAACTCTTAGGACTTTCACTTCATAACACACTTCAACCTAATATTTTCATATCAATGACTACTGATCAGTGTACTGTAGGCACCGCTAGTGATGCCAACATCATGTTGCCATTGTGTTGTCTTCTCCATATGGTCCATGTATTTACCGTTGATTGTATGGATTCTTGAGGAGAAAAAATTCTTTCCAATATCTGAGTTTCAAGAATGATATTTGATTTAATTGAAGTATTGATAATGGGCATTTCTTTTATTTTTCATTTGTCATTCATAAACATGAAAACGTAACAATGATGTGGTCCCCAGATTTTCTCCACAAGGTAAATCATTTTCTTTTTAGCCGCTTGTCCATGATTGTCATAGGGTCGTTGCGTTTCTTGGTGACAAAGGCAGAACGAAGGAAGAGAGAGAAAGAGAGAGAGGAGACAGAATTGCTATTTTTTTTAATTCTCTCGTATCTTGTACAATTCTTTTACAAATGATATATCATTTGTTCTGACTCATGACTCTGCTAGGAAGGGCCCTAACCCGTTTAATTAACCAGGCAAGGATAGTGGAGCCAATCTAAGGAGGCAAGACTACATCTAGTATAGGATAGTTTGGTACAAAATAAAACTAACTTGACCCATTACAATTAAGCCTAGCTACGCCCAAACCATTCAAAACCCAATAGAAAATCTCCAAATCAATTTAAGGACACCCCATCCTCTTTAAAGGCGACTGCCTATGTCAACTACCTCCTCCTCAAAGATTCTCTTGTCCTTCAAGGTGAAAGATGGAAAGCGGCGATTGATCTCCTATACAAACTCCCAAGTTGCCTTAGTTGGAGAAAGGTCTTGTCGGTGAATCGGCCATTTGATCGCTAACTTGTTTTGTTTCTTAGTAATGCACCGGTCGATGATGGCCCGTGGTTGAGATGGACGGCTAGAAAGGAAGGCGAGTAAATCTTTATGAGATGTGTGTGACCCTATAACCTTCTCGAGCAGAGTGAGACATGAAAGACCGGGTGGATTGAAGCCGATGTAGGTTGCTTCAAACGATAAGCCACCATCCCCACTCGTCTTCAATCAAGAAAGAGCCATAATAACGAGTAGAGAGTTTGTAAAATTTGTGCTTGGCCACCAAGTGTTGTTTATAGGGTTGAAGCTTCAAGTTAACTCGGTCGCCAATTGCAAATTGACGTTTTGTTCTATGGCTATTTGCTAATTGACGCATACAATTCTATGCTCGAGAGAGATTTTGCTTGAGTTAGGTTAACATGGCTTCTCCGTGATAGATTTAAAAGAAAACGCAAAAAGCTTTTTTGAGTCAATTGCACGTTATACACTTAGGCATGGCTATATATAGCCTTACAGCAGAAAGCAATAAAGGAAAGAAGCTAAAGGACGCAACTACAAGACTTATCTAATAAATAATATCGGAGACCTACTTAAACTCTACTTCATATATCGGAGACCTATTATGACGGACATGCCGAGCATAATAAATCCTAACAATTCCTCCCTTAAACCGAACTCGTAATTTTCGGTTTAAATCGGTTCTCGAACATACTCTTAGCATTTTTCGTAACTTCAAGAACACTTCCGACTTAAGAGGTTTAGTCGAGTATATCTGCTACTTGTTCATGTGTTCTCGCAATGCACCAATTCTACAATGCCGACTTTTGTCGGATCCCAAAGGAAATGAAAACGCGGATCAATGTGTTTACTTCATCCATGCATTACCGGATTCCTTGATAATTTGATTGCGGAAGTTGCTATCACGTAAAATTCGGTTGACTTCTCTTGATCCCGTTTCAATTTTTCCAATACTCTCCTTAACCAAACCGCTCGACATGCACACATTGCTGCAACGAATAAACTCGCTTCTATAGTGGATAGGCTCACCACCGATTGCTTCTTAGATGCCCATGACACTCGCTCCCGAATTTAACAAAAACACATAACCGGAGGTGCTCTTTCTATCATCCATGTCCCCAAGCATAATCACTCGTCGATGTAGGCAATGAGCTTGCCATTTCCTCCCTTCCCGAAAAATATTCCAAGTTCGAGTTGTCCCTTTTAAGTATCTCGAGCACTCTTTTCACCACTCGGAGATGAAGTTACGTGGGATTCTCCATGTATCTACCGGCCGGTCCTACCACATACATCATGTCCGGCCTTGTAGCAGATGAGGTACATAAGGCTTCCCACAATTTGCTTATAGTGAGTCTTATCCACTTTAACTCCACCTTCATCCTTTCGCTAGCTTAAAGCCCGGAACAATTGGATTATGAACCGAATTGCTCTTTTCCATCCCAACCTTGTTAGTACATCTAAAGCATACTTTCTTTGACTAATAAAGACCCCATCTCGCTCTTTGTAAAACTTCTAAACCAAGAAAATATCTCATCTTCCCTAAGTCAGTCATATCAAACTCTTGTTTCATATTCCGCTTGAATTCGATAACATCGACTCATCATTCCCGAGTAAAACAAGATCATCCACATACAAACTCACTATTAATAATTTTCCTTCTCCTCTTGTTTTGATGAATAAAGTATGCTCATAGTCGCACTTTACAAAACCTTTTTGTAAAAAATGGGTCTCTATACGACCGTACCATGCTCGTGGTGCTTGCTCGAGCCCATAGAGTGCCTTCTTTAATTTGTATACCTTTTGTTCATGTCCTCTCTTAATGTAACCACAAGGCCGCTCTATGAATACATCCTCCTTTAACTCACCATGTAAGAAGGCGGACTTTACATCTAGCGGATAGATGAACCATCCTTTTGAGCTGCAAGGGCTATCACCAAGCGGATTGTCTCTATGCGTGCTACTCGGTGCAAATACCTCCGTATAGTCAATACCATATTGCTGAGCATATCCCTTCACTACAAGCTCGGCCTCGTACTTATCCACTTCTCCCTTTTCATTAAATTTTGTTTTGTAGACCCACTTTACTCCAACCTTCTTTCCTCTTTTAGGTAACTCGTCAATTCCCATGTCCCATTTCGCTCTATAGCTTCTATTTCCATATCCATGGCTTTCCTCTATTTTTCACTTTTTACAGCATCATAAAAATGAATGGGATCTCCGATTGCAAACATGACTAGATGAGCATCATGGTCATTTTCAAAAAAATCTTCTCCCGAATTATAGTCCATCATCCAGTCGGTAGGTGCCTATTCCTTCGTGAAATAGAACCTGGAGGAGTGTTCTTCTCGCTTGTGCTTCATTTGTAGTATTCTCTTCTACGGTCGTGTCATTCTCGGACTTGCATTTAGCATGAGCATCCTCCATCACATCCGTTTCCTTTTCCCGATCACTACTTTCACATAAAACGGCTTCTTCATACCCCTCGTTCGATCCCGACTTTTGTCTTCTTCAAAGATAACATCCCTACTTATTATGATCCTTTGTGTAGTTGGGTCATAAAGTCCGTATGCTTTAGTGTTTCCACTTACTCCTAACGAACACAAGACAAGCTCTTATTGTCTAGCTTGGTTCTTGTATTATCGGGAATGTGAACATAATAGATACGACCAAAGACTCTAAAGTGTTCAACCGAAGGCTTGATTCCACTCCAACCTTCTTCCGGAGTTTTATTATTTACTCGTCGAGGTAGGATCTGCGGTTCAAAACATATACTCGTCCAGTTAACGACTTCGAGCCAAAACGGTTTAGGAACTTATTTTTTCGACATGATGCTACGAACCATATTCATGATGGTTCTATTTTTCGTTCAACGAACACCATTTTGTTGAGGCGTATATGCAATTGTTAGTTGCTTGTGTATCCCATTTTTATCACGAAGTCGATGAACTCATGTGAATTAAACTCTCCTCCTCTATCCGTGCGCAAGCTTCTAATGGAGGAGTCCGTCTCCTTCTCAACGTGTGTTTTGAATCTTTTAAACGCATCAAAGGCTTCGACTTTCTAATCAAGAAATAGACCTATGTTTTTCTCGCTGTAGTCGTCAATGAAAGTAATGAGATACCTCTTGTTGCTATTGGACACGGGACTGATTGGTCCACAAATGTCGGTATGCACCAACTCGGAGAATATGTGATACTCTCCATTTACTTTGTTTTGGGAACGATTCTCTTTTCTCGCTTACCTATTAGACAATCCTTGCAAAGTTTCAAAGGAGACCGAAACCGTGGTAACCCAATCACCATTCTCTTCGTCGGAGAGTCCTCAATCCTTTCGAGGCTCAAGTGCACGTATCCGCAATGCCAAAGCCGCACCTTATCTTTACTAGTTGTGCTCGAGACAAGTGGTTGTCATGGGTTGAGACCGCACACATTGAGAGGAAACATCTTGCATGGGTTGAAATGATGCATACATTATGTACATTCGATTAGAGGTCATCTTTGTATCCATGATTAAACCTCTCTTAGGATGAAACACCTTGCACGCCTTATTTTGGAACGGAATATCAAGGCCCTTTTCTTGGAACTCGGCCGATACTTAGCAAGTTATTCTTTAACTCCGGCACATAAAATACTTCTATAATGATCCGTATTGTGCCATTCATTTTCAGCCTTATATTGCCCTTTCCTAAAACTCGCCATTCTTGAATTATTTCCCATCTTCACGGAGTCTTTGTAATTTCCATCAAAGTCCGAAAAATACTCCTTTTTCCCACACATATGATTGCTGCAACCCGAATCAAGGAACCACATGTCTTCTCCATTTGTCATCTTTTCATCCACATATGCCATTAACAATATCTCTTCTTGACTTTCCGTATAATTTATCTCCTTTTCCTTGCTTGAGCATTCCCACCGAAAGTGCCCAAGCTTGTGGCGCTTATAGCACTCCATCGTGGCTTTGTTGAAGCCTTGCCTTCCTCTTCCCATTGCTCTGCCATGAAAATTTCCACTAGCTGCGACCTCTTCCCATAAGATGATTTCCATGAGCTATTTTCGGAGCTTGTTCTTCCTCAACGTGAGAACACATACGTTGCTCATGCACCAACAAACTACTCCGTAACTCATCAATGGTCATTATGCTTGTGTCATTTGATTCCTCAATGGAACATACGACATAATTAAATTTAGGAGTCATAGACCTTAAGATCTTTTCAACAATAGCGACATTACCCTTGTCCTCTCCATTGGCTTTCATCTTGTTAGCAATGGTGAGAGTCCGGGTAAAATATTCATTCACGGATTCTCCAAGCATTCATGTGGAGAGTTTCAAATTCCTTTCGAAGAGCTTGCAACTCGTGCTCACCTTACTTTTGTGGTGCCTTGATATTTCGCTTCATGGAGTCCCATATAGCCTTTGTTGTATCCTTATTGAGAATTGTCTCCAAGATTGTCCGATCCAATGCTTGAAACAGGTAATTCTTTGCTTTCAAGTCTTTTAACTTTTGTTCTTCAATATTCCCCTTCGCGTGTCTTTAGGAGTGCTTCCTTCGCTTCGTAGAAATCCCATTCTCCACTAAGCCCCAATACTCCTTTGATCGCAAGAAGTTTTCCATAAGCATAGCCCAATGATCATAATGCCCATCAAACTTTGGGACTCGCTGGTTGTACAAAGGAGCTTTCCGTTGACATGTCTCTTAACCTTTGCTCGATACCAATTAATAGATTTAAGAGAAAATGCAGAAAGCTTTTTTGAGTCAACTGCACGTTATACACTTAGGCATGGCTATATATAGCCTTACAGCAGAAAGCAATAAAGGAAAGAAGCTAAAGGACGCAACTACAAGACTTATCTAATAAATAATATCGGAGACCTACTTAAACTCTACTTCATATATCGGAGACCTATTATGACGGACATGCCGAGCATAATAAATCCTAACACTCGGTACTAAGGTACTTGTCTACTCGCTTCCATATAAGAATCCTTGAGAATGTATGGTAGATGGATTAGGAGTGAGAATCCATAAAGTGCTTTGAAGAGTGTCAACTTGGTGGAGGCATGGAAGTTTGTATTAATTGTACCACCATTCGAAAAGGGTAACCATTTTGACCTTCCAATAGGTGTGTCCCCTATCATACTCCGAAGGTAGTTTTCTAGACAACGATTTACTACTTTCGTCAACTCCTTGTATGACAAATAACTCATTCAAGAAATTGCTCAAGAATACTATCTTTGTGTCACTTACGATGGTGGCTACTAACCTATATAATTTAAAGACAATGTTAAGAAACAATTAAGCTACCACTTGAGCAAGTGTAAAGGTGAGGGAGGCTCATGAAATGAGCATATTTGATTAGGCGATCCACAACTACGAAGATGATTTCCTTTCCTTTAGACTTAAGAAGTCTTTCCATAAAATTCATAGAGATATCAATGAACACTCTTTGCGGTACGGGTAGTAAACTAGGAGTTGCCACCAACTTTGGTTTACAAGTTTGATAGGTGGGGCACTCTCGAATTCTATCGCTTAATATTTCCCTGCCGACCTTTCCAATAGAAAATACCTCCTAATTTCTTCTAAGTGGTGGCAATACCCGAATGTTCATCTAAGGCCGAATCATGAAATAGTCTAAGAATGTTTCTCAATTTGTTATTGCGTCCCATAACCACTTTACCTTTTTCTAGTGAAAAATCCATCATGCCATTTGTAATGAGAATGAGTGGTAGGGTTTTTGTTCAAGTCCGACGGCAGTTATTGAACGAAGGGTCGATTACCCAAGAATTCTTTATTTGCTAAGGCAAAGTCGGAGGAGAGGATGGAAATAGCCAAGGAATGAATTTCATAGCCCGGTAGTCCGGATGGTGCATCGGTACCCAAATTTTCCTTTTCCTTCTTATACAAAACCTCATACTCAAAAGCCTAAAAGTTTAGCCAACCATGTATGCTTGGCTGGATGTGGAGAGTTTCTATTCTTAGAGGTACTTAAGGTTGTGATGATCTGTTTTAATCTTGAAATACCTTGAATCTAGATAGTGTCTCTATTGTTTAACAACACATACAACGACCAATAACTCTCTCATAAGTTGAAAGTATTTGATGTCAAAATGAGAGTGCCTTGCTAATGAAAGCAATTAGGTGCCTTTTTTGCATCACAACTACCCCTAAAACCCGTACTAAAAACATTGATTTCAATAGTGAACTACTTGATGAGGTCCGGTAGGATAAGAATTGGGGCCGACAATAAGGCTACCTTGAGGGTATCAAAGGTAATTATAGAATGCTCGATCCGAGTGGAAGGCATCTTTTGTAAATAGGAATGTTAATGATTTACTAATCGAGTCATACCCCTTGATGAACTTGCAATAATAACTCGTCAAGCCCAAAACCCTCATAATTGTTTTAAGTTCTTGGGAATGTGTCAATCTATCACTATTCGAATCTTCTTAGGGATAGTAGATACTTCTTTAAGCGAGATGAAATGTCCCAATTACTCCACCCTATCATCCTCGAAAACACATTTACCGAATTTTGCATACAACTTATGAGTTTTTTACACCGGATGTCGGTTCAATCGAAAAACTAATCGGAAAACGACCTAAAAGTTGAGGATTGGTCGATTGATCAAATTGTAGAACTGTTCCTTGGTTGCCTTCATCTTATAAAGAATTTATTTCAATTTTTAAATATTTTATAATAATTATTAATAAGAAAAATAAAAAATATATATATAGAAATTTTAATGATTTTTTAATGATATAAATTATTTTAATAAAAAATTGATTATTAATTTTTGCATTTTTTTACTTTATTTAGATTTTTTAAAAACATATTTATTAATAATTATTATAAAATAATTAAAATTTTCTTTATTTTTTAAATTATTGTTATTAATAAGTATTATAAAATCATTTAAAATTGAAAAAAATAACTTCTTTAGATTTTTTAAAAATATATATATATTTCTTGAATAATAATTACTATAAATTCATTAGAAATTAAAATAAAAATATATATGTATATATGACTTTAAATTTTTTTCAATTTTAATGATTTTATAATAATAATTTATTATTTTAATGTTAAAAAATATCGGGGAAAAAAAACTTATTTAAAAAAAATATTTTTTCATCCATAAGTTTATATGGGTCGTCATTTAATTGGTTAGGCGTTACTCAACAAAAAAAATTGATCAATTTGACGAAAAAATTTAATCGAAAAGATTGTTTTGCAATAAAAACTAATAACACAAGATTTGTTATTAATTATATCTATTTAGAAGAGTTGCAACAATACTTTCGGTATAATACATGGACATTTGATGTATTTGGTCCGTTAATTAAACATCAAGTTTAAAATAATTATAAACAATAACAACCTAATTGAGATATTTACTCTTAAAATTCTGGCATGTAACAAAGTATCTATAAGAATAAATATTTTTTATGTAACAAAAAAATTCCTTTTGATTTTTTATATTAAAGGAATTTGTATGTATAAGAGAAAAATATGAAGAATATTGACTTTTATAGGTATTTTAGAAAAAAATATTATTTAAAATTTTGATGAAACAAAATTTTAAAATAAATAAAGAAAAATAATTTTTAAACATCAAGTGTAAAAAATAGGGGCTACGGATTGTAGGAAATTATAGAAACGCAACGTAAAAACTCAACTTTAAAAGTACGAGCTTAATTTAATTTTTTAACATTTTGTCAATCTCGTATTTCAAAAAAAAAATTATATTTTTATCTTTTAAGTTTATACAGAGTATCATATAATTGATTAGACGTTAATCAACTAAAAAATTAACCAATTTGACAAAAAAAATTTAACCGAAAAGATTGTTTTGCAATGAAAACTAATAACACAAGATTTGTTATTAATTATATCTAAATAGAAGAGTTGCAACATTACTTTCAATATAATACATAAACACAAGATGTGTTTACTCGATTAATTAACCATCAAGTTTAAAATAATTATAAAAAATAACATCAAATTGAAATATTTACTCTTAAAATGTTATTTTTAACCATCGTGTTGTGTCAACCTCGTACTTTTGAAGTTATTTATTTTTAACCATTAGGTCCTCCTCCTCCTCAAAAAAAAAAAAAAAAAAAAAAATTTAACCATCGTGTTGTGTCAATCTTATGAGATTTTTTTATCTCTACTTGTTTTTAATTAATCGAAACCAAATCCAATTTCACATAATTTTGTTTGGTACAAAATCCTCTGATTTTACTAGTTAAATTGCACTAGTTAACAATTTAATATCAACGAAAACAAACCAACTCTCTCTGTGCACGTTGCCAACAATGGAGATTCAAAAATCCACACAATTAATCTCATGTGATGAGATAGATATTATACGAAGACAAAACCTCATCCACAAGAGTGGAGTCACCTAAGCCTTACGTTTGTTTTAACATATCCACTTAAAAATCCAACAAATTGAGAGGGAAAAAAAAAAAAAGGAAAGAAAAGAAAAGGTTGTCGCATGGTTTCTTTTATCCGATTTGAGAGTACTTTTCTAATATCTGGACTTCATTTTGTAAGTAAACAAAGGATATAAAACCTAGCAAACAGGGGGGAAAAAGGGCAGCTAATAGTTCAGAAAGAAATGGCTCTTCAGGCAAGCATGAACATGAGCACCATGTCTCCTGCTAGAGCTGGATTATTATGTTCAAACCACGTAGCTTGCTCAAAAGAAAAGTTGAAATTTCCCACAGGCAGAGGGTTAACGAGGTCTACTTCTTTCGCATTTCCATCTTCTTTAAATACTTCAGTCAAAAATCATAAATCCAGCGTTGTGTGCAAAGCTCAAGAAGCTGTTGGTGTAGGTAAGCCCCTCTCTCTTCCTGTCAAGAGCTGTGTTTATATATATGAATCAATTATTGTTCATTTTTGCTTACCCTTGTGTACTGAATGTTGATTGGATAAAAAAAATAAAAAATAAAAAAACATGCAACAGTGCAAGAGGCAACAGATTCAAGCTGGGATAGCGTGGTTATGAGCAGTGAACTCCCTGTTCTAGTTGAATTCTGGGCACCATGGTGCGGGCCGTGCCGGATGATAACACCGGTGATCGATCAATTGGCAGCAGAATACGCAGGGAAGATTGCTTGTTACAAGGTGAACACTGATGATTGCCCAAACATTGCTTCAAAATATTCGATTAGAAGCATCCCCACAGTGCTAATGTTCATGAACGGAGAGAAGAAAGAAGGTGTTATAGGTGCAGTTCCAAAGGCTACCTTGGCTGCTGCCATTGAAAAATACATTGAAGCTTGAAGAGAGAGAGAGAGAAGAGGAGCTATAAATATCCTTTAGAAATCTTTTGTTGCAATTGCCATTGCCTTGTATTTGTCATGACAATGTTTAAACTTTATTTTCTAAATCATGACGAGGGTAGTTTGATAAATACATGTACTTGCTGAACCCTCTTTCTTCCTGTCTCCCAATTTCTGAGCTTAAGCTAAAATGCATCCACGACGCTAGTCGATCACAGTTTGCCCAGAAACGCAAAAACCATCCTAAACCATTTATACAAAATCAAGAGCAATATCCAAATCAAATTATCAACTGAAGTAGTAAATTCTCTTCGTAAATTTAAAAAAAAAAAAAGTGATTAGACATTGCCGAATTTTATATAGCTTAGCTTAGGTAGTAAATATATGGAACAAACAGAAGTGCAACACCAATGCATTCGTTATCTAGGCAGTATATTCCTTGTTCTCCTTGCTTCTCCCTGGAAACATCAAATTCTAATCCATCTATAGCCAATTAAAAAAAAATATAAACCCCCCATTCCCATCAGCCGAAATTGCCTATTGGAAGAAACATTTTGTATTTGTACCATATGCAGCTCCTGCCAGTCAATGCATATGAAAATTTTTACATGATTCTGCAGATAGAAAGATCAAAAGGCCATGCCTCAAGCCTGAGTTCACATTTGAAGCTTTTAAGAGAGATAAAAGACCTAAAGAGGTACACCCACCGGCAAGGTGTATTTCAAGTACAAGGTAAAGTTGAAACAACGGCGAAAAGACCTCAACTGAAAACATTTAAGCTGTTTGTTTTCCTTCGCTGAACATTTTGCACCAAGTTGAAAATTCATATAACTATAAACAGGAAGCCTCAAACCCAAATGTAGGCAAACAATCCCCAACACATAGCACGAGCACCTTTTATCACCACCAGAATTGTATCACTCTAGGTATAAATCACCATGAAAGTATTATTAGTAAAATTACCGACGCTCTTCAGGGAGTCCAATCGAATTGGTGATCAAGAAATCTATTTACTGCCCCAAGACCGTTAAGCAACTGATAAGCCAGTGCCTGTTGCTGATGATTCATACCAGCATCATGATTCATCACTGGCATGGCGAACCTACCAGACAAAGTGCCGGAGGCATTCCCCATGGCAGTTGTGATTCCGCTAGTAGAGGCAGAAAGACGATTTTGACCATTCAAATTCCCGAACCCTCCACCTACAGTACTTGACTTGTTGTTTCCCATCAAATTGCCCTCTAGGCAAGGGCCACTGGTGAGCATGTTTTGTCTTGACTGTGTTACCTTATTTATGTCCTTCATGTTATTCCCTTCATAATCAACACTGCCCATGCTACCTGACCCACTGAACTGTGAAGAAATCATCATTTCTTGTATGATTTTCTCAACAGAGCTCTGAAATTCATTTGGATCAACCTCATTTGACTGAGATGACTGTTGCATTGGTGTTTGGACAGGTGAATTTGCTGAGCTGACGTGGTTTATAGCAGTTGATGCTGCTACTGTATTGTGAGAACTTTGAGGAGGATTATTAGATGATGATGGCGTCAGACAAGAGAAGGGAGAAGAGGGATTAGGCTGAGCTGGTGGCAAAGTGGTTGAAGACCCAGCAGATGGAATCTGAACAGAAGTCCCAGTATATGGACTGCCAGGGCTAGTCATCTGGTTTTCAATTCGTGAATTCATGGAATTCTGATGAAAAAGCCCAGCAACAGTAATGGAAGAGGAAGTGGTGGAGCTTGTGCCAAGGGAATTGTTTGCGCTTGCAGCAACACTGCTTGAGGAAGGATGCATGACACTTGCCTGTACAGAGTAATGATCATCATTCGATGTGTGTCCAGTAATTTGACGCTGCTTTTTCTCAGGTGGTTGCTGATCGGAATTGTGCACTCCAGGCCTAGTTCTGCGAGGGAACTGAGCCAAACTCTCTGGAAAACAAATGAGACGTTATTATGTGAAATAAAAACTTAAATAACCACGAGTCAAAGGATTCTAGCACAGCCTCCATATGATAGTTCCAGGAAACTCTCTGATGACTTTGGGACAAATGGGATAAGTTTACTTTGTCAAATAAATGGTGCCAAGCAATACTTTTAAGCCATTTTCACTGACATATAACCTTCGAAACTGTTCCCCCTTTTTAGCAGAATACTTGAGAATCCTCAAGGAACCTAGCAGTTAGCAAGGTGTGTCATTGCAATCTATTTGTCAATTTGGTGTTTGTAAAAGCTACTAGCTTTCACTTTAGGAAGCTCTATGCATGGATGTAGTTTTTCATTTTGGAAAGGAAACTTCTGCATATCATACTTCGATGGTTTTTTGGGTGTGAGATGAATAATCATTGGATATGCAATGCATCCTCTTCTCTTAAAAATTTCAAATTGTAGGTGCTTTTTCATTCCCTTTTGAGCTAAAAATAGATGTGAAAGTTCAGAGAAAGTTTCAATCAGCGCAAAAGAATCGAGATATTAAAGAGAAATAGAAGATAAGAACATCAAATTCTGCAACTTATTGCAACGTTTGCTGACAAGAATTGATTGATAGCTATATCATTCAATAAATCAGAACAAGTCGAAAAAGACAAATAACAAAAGGGGGAAGTTTCTTTAAGCTTACCTATCGGTCCCTTCCCAGCCTCTTGAGTGGTGTAGTCAATCAAGTCTTTCATGCAGTTTACCACCTCCGATATCTGCAATTTGTTCAGTAAGCATGCACAAAAAAAAAAAAAAAAAAAAAAAAAAAAAAAGGAGGTTCTTGTCAAATTATCAAGTTATGATCAGTCCAACATTCTTCAAAAAGAGCACAATGCAGATATCACATTTCAAATACAATGCAATCTGTGCAAATATGGAGATGCATATTTGTTTTATGTGCACATGCTTTATTGGGGCTGGATATAACATCTTAAATCCACATCCAAAATCTTGAGGATGAGGCCACTTGGTGGGTAGATTTGGGAGGCACTGTTACTACAGAGAAAAAAACATCAACTCAGGCAGGAAGGAACGAATGGCTAGAAGAGAGCATGGTATGCATCAATGGCCTCAAAAAAGGCCTAAAAAGAAAATGCATGGGAGCAATTAAAACCACATTCAATTGAGTTCACATAGGACACTAGCAGAAGTAAAATATTATGCCTTGACTATTTCCAGAACATATCAAGCAGTGCAATAGTAATCAATGTAAACAAAATGAGCCTATTCACGTCCAATAATCAAGGATGGCCACTAGGAAATTAGAAATTTGCCATAAATTATACCTGGAGACATCGCACGTATCTCTTTGTGTATCCTAAATCATTGACTAAAGGAATCTCCAAGGCTTTTGAAAGTTGACGAGCAGATGCAAGAAACCTGGAAAATTCACATACATAAATATAAGCCAAACAAAGGCCAGCTGATGGAAATAAAAGTTCCACTCAAATACACCGATCATGATTAAGAATCAAATTGAGAATCTAACAATCACTCAAAACAAATTAGCCATCTAAAATTATATCAGTTGAGTTGAAAATTCATCAAGTATCCCACAAAGAAAAATACAACTGTAACTTTTCTATGACATGCCAGATACATCTTAAATGCATTAGATTGTAATCCTTGTTTGTTTACACTTAATCAGAGCTATCATGTCAAGGGCCAGGTTGCTGGATGCTATCATTGACGTCATTACAAAGGCCATTAGCTAGGTGACAATCAGGCCCTATTTGAGAGTCAGAAAATTAATTACCACATTTCAATAGTTTTACTCAATGCAACTTTATTTGCATTTTCCTTCAATTATTCATAGGAGGGTGGGCACCAAATTGATAGGCCATATAGAGCCAATAACATAAATGCAAAACCGTCCAGACTAAATCAGCTGGCAAAAGAACACTATTCACATTGCAGAGCTAATAGTTAAGGCTGACTTAGTTTCCAAGCTGCATCATCAAGGTGGCTTGTCAAATGCCAAAAGCACAGATGACGCAGATCATATACATAAGTGGAGCATGTCCCGCATAAAGAACTAGGTCTTTCAGCTCATGTGGAGAGAGGGGCGAACTTCGTGTTGCCTCTTAGATTCAGTAATTTTCATTGTTCAGCACATTAAAAATGAAACAAAAAGTATCAAGTTTTCGACAGACTGTATTAAGATAAATTATGAAATTTCAAATGAGAGTAGTTTAAAAAAAAAAAACCATCAACTTATGACAGCAATCAAAAGAATTTCACAAAAAAGGAACTCACATGTTACAGTTACTTTCTAAATCAGATGAAGATGAGTTCAATGAAGCATTTTGAGCAGAAGCTTGGTATTTCTGTGCCACAGCTCCAAGCTGGCTTACCTACAAGATAGGGTTTTGATCTATGAAAGTTACACAAGAATTTAACAAAAGCTTCTACCTTATCACCTCAATAGCACCAATGGATAGAAAATAATCAATCGCATATGAAGGGAAAAAATTATCTGCTTGAAAAAAAAAATGAAAGTGGAAGTCTTCAGAGCAGAATTTAAGTAAGTGATTCTGATTTTGGAAAGCGGTCATAGCTGTGACTCAGAGAATAATTAACCTCTGATGGCAAGTATTGCAGCAATTAAATCGACCTAGCATTAGAAGCATCTAAAGTATCATAAAGGGAAATTTCATCCACATCTGCTACAGGCTGAAGAAACTTGGATATGTTGACCATTCTTAGGCACTTCCATTTAAGTATCAAGGAAAGGCAATGAAGAGAACCGTTACATTAAGGCAACCAATCTCCTAGACAAGGAGGCCAGCCTTCTCAGGAATTTATTTAAGACCTCTCCCTTCACTAATACTCATTAGGGGGCATCCCCTAGTTGGCTTATTATGTACATACGAAAGTTTAAGGTTTCATTGCTTGATTAATTTCCAAATTTCTGTATGTTCTACTTTCCTAGATTAGTTTAGCTTGCTGCTTATATGAGGGAGAAAATTTCCCAGCTACTTTCATGCAATCGCTAAAATCATAACTTTAAAATCTGATTATGGCA